CTGTTTTACAAAAAGGCCAGGCACATCTTATGTGTCCCATTGCAAACTAGAACTCTCTCTCTGGCTGCCCCATCTCTCTGCTGCAGAGAATGTTCTTTTTCAAAAAAGTTTTATTATTTTTATTTAATGTATATGAATGTATTGGCTGCACGTGTGTAAGTGCATCCATTTCCTACAGTGCTGGCAGAGGTCAGAGGAGGGTCAGATCCCCTGGAACTGGAGTAACACATGGGTGTTAGCTTCCATGTGGGTGCTGGAACTGAATCTAGGTGCTGCAAGAGCAGCCAGTGCTCTTAATGGCTGAGCCATCTCTCCAGTCCCCAGAAAACCTTCTGGAAGGTTCCTGCCACAGGTCTCCTCGTTTCATTTCTAATGTATAGCTTGATGCTGCTGAGTGCATCAAGCCCCTTTATTTAGACTTCTTAACAAGCTTTCTATGGAACAGAGGAAGACCAGGGTTTTTAGATGAGCACTTGGTTGCCTGTGTCTTTTACTGCTATATGCTGAGAGCAAGACTACCCACCAGAACTTGATGGTGAGACCTCATTGCTGAAGACACTACGTACGTGAGCTATAGAAAAAACAAGGAGAAATCAAGCTGATACTAACTTCAAAGCTTCATCTCTGCTGGCTAGCTTTCATAGTGCTAGAAGGTGCTATGCATGCTACCTGAAGAGAAAACTGATCATCAACCTTGCCCAGCTGTGAATCCTGCAAGTTACAACAACAACTGGTCTGGCAAGATATATCCACTGTTTTAATAGTGGCACAAATGTTATGGGAGTAACCAACCACTATCTGATTGAATTTAAGATCTACTTTCCAAGATGGAGCCCATACTTGACACTGTTATCAGGGACAGGTAGCTAGACAGGTCATAGGCCATAGGGGAGAGCCTACTACTATTATTTTGCTAAACAGACATAGTATTAACTCCTAATGACTTATTGTTATACTCGTAGATTAATACATCTCTCAACTCTGACCAGAGAAGCTTCCTCATGTGGCAGATGGTAATTAACTCGGGGACCCACAACTGGTCAATAGTAAGCAAATAAGAGACTTCACAGTGCTTATCCCGGAATAGGACATCTCTATCAAACTTCTGCCTTCCAATGCTCAGGAATCATTACAGAAGAGGGGCAGAAAGACTGTAAGAGACAGAGGTGGTGGAGAACCACATGGAAACAGAGATTTTCAGACAGCTGAGCAGATACTCATATGAACTCACAGCAATGGTGGCCACATATACAAATCTCACATAAGCTCAAGCAAGATGAAATCCTAGCATAGAAGCAGCAAAATGGGTAAGAAGCCCCAGGCCTAGCTGAGAGACTACTAGCAACTGATAGCTGATGGGAGGGGAAGAGTCAGTCTTCCTTAAGGGTGTGACTCTGGGTGGTTAAGCAGGTTCCAGTGGACAGACTCAAATGAAAGGCATTTAGGGACACAAATTGACTGTACAGGCCTTTATACACTATGTACACACATAGATATGTGTGTGTGTGTGTGTGTGTAGTTTGTGTGTTAGCAATATGTATTATAGAGTACTTGAAAAAATGAAAAAATATATAATGGCATACATGAAATTACGTAGGGGGTACTAATGGGGGTGCAGATGTAGGGGAGGGTCTAAATAGGATCAAAATATATTGTCTAAAATTCACAAATAATTTAAAAACTTTAAAAAACTTTTATGCTGATTTGAAGGGGAACTTTATTCTTCTGGCTATAGAAACCTCTTTTCTCCCACTACTGACATCCAGTATTTTTTTTTCCAGATGAGTGATTTCATAGAATTTAAAGTTATGCTGCTGTATATGAGAAACAGCCTTGGCACTAAACTGCTCTGGCAGAAGGTCAGAAGACGGTGAGCCCCTGGCCGGAGCTCAGCTATCTGGAAGCAATTGTTTCAGGGGATGGAAATATCACTTCTGGAAGCATCCCTCCAGCTGTACCTGTATATCTACTTGATTGGCATAGATTGCAGGTTAGAGCAATTTGGCTGTGAAGGTGGTGAGGTTTTAGTACCATCCACTAAAGAATGTACTGTAGTCATAGAGAATAATGACAGTCAACACATAAAGGTGAAACTTGGTTGCTGCTTTGAGGAGGTTTTTGTGTTGGGAAATACGTTTCAGTTCCTGTATTTTATGTCTAGGTTGTCTCTTTAAAACAGAGGCTTTTGGGGCAGGAAATGTGTGCTGTGTCTCTCCTAATGGCAGGCTTTGCCAATGTCAAATAATAATAGTAAAGGGGTGGCACAGGAATAATTCTTCACTGTCCTGTTTGGGATGAGTATGTTGGAAGGTGTTTTGCCTAGGAAAAGATAAAGTCCAAACTTCTACCTGATCTCAAGAACACGCCTTTACCAGTAGACCAGCTTAAGAACATTCCGTGTAATTAACCAAGTAAACATAACACACCTGAACACAAGGGCCTATTGTTGGTGCTGTGACAACTCCTGACAAATTCAGCCCCTTTCATCAAACTGAATTGAAAACACTCCAGCACAGCTCTGCACTCTGCATCTTTGGTGTCAAACTCCATTTTCAATCCTTTATGTCAAATTTAAATTCATGGCAACTGCATTCAGATCTTGATAGAATCCTCAATTTGCCCTGGACCCCAAGTCCATTTCATAAGGGACACAAACACATGCACGCACACACACACACATACTCCAGCTCGATGAGCTTTCATTTTAGCTAAGCCAGAGTGAAGAATTCTGAATGACTACCTGCTGGCCAGAGCTCTAACATACCCTCAGAAAAGAGCCTCCTGGAAACAAGCCTACTGCCCAATTGAGTTTTTACCCCTCCGTTAGAGAAGTCATATGTGCATGGCTCTTGTTTGGGATGAAAACAGACCTTCACATTTTCTGTGGTATTTTCTCTTCTTACCGAAGCTAAAATCACTACCAGTCTTAAGTGAGCTGAACAAATTGGCATGAGCTGATGAAAAATGAGTAAGTTTGGCTCTAAACACACAGATCTGCTCTGTCCACTCAAATGATGAGGTCTTGATTTAGGTATAAAACCAACAAAAATCTCCTATTGACAATGGACAATCTGATACACTGTCCAAAAGAAAAGAAATCGCCCTGTGTGTTATCACTAAGAAAACATTCTAGATGGCCGGGAGATAAGAACTGACCTCCCTGATGGAAATCATCTTTGCTTGGGTGTCCATATATGCATAAAAGGATGTAGCTTCTGAAAGCTCATTTTCTCCTTAATAATTGTCTGTTTTTCAAAAGCTATCAGCAGGTGCACCTCATTTCAAAAGCCTCTTGTCCTTCATAATACAATATTCATCACGATTACATAGTATGGAATAAAAAGTAGCAAAACATAAGCGAGGGTAGGTTCAATTAAATGCAACATAATCTCTGCAGCAAAAAAAAAAAAAAGCTCTGTAGCTAAAATCAGCTTCCGATGAAAGAAAAAAGGGAATATATTCCCACATATTTTTAATTATATAGAATTTCCTCAAACATGATTTTTCATAATATATTCCATTAAGTTAACATCATATTTGAAGAAAGAGCATTTTCCGATTTCATTTTAAGCCTGATTTTGAGCAATTACAGTGTCATTGTTCCGTGGTAGAAAGGTTGAATTCATTTACTGTGTGGTTATGCTAGTTATGATTGATGTGTCTTCTCCAAATGATAAACCAATCACCCCAATGATGTAATGTCATTTTAAGAGTGCCATAATCACATTTCTCTCAAACTAGAAGCTCTGATGAGTTCTAATAAAGATTTATGGTAGATTAAAGGCCTTCATAATATCAACAATGGATTGCTCATTTGATGAGAGATTTGATTAGGTAATTTTTTTAAAAAAAGAATATGAGTTTACTAACTATATTGGGCCTGGGTTTGAAGAAGGGCATGGGCCACCACATGTAACAGTCTATCAATCCATCTATGGGATGAATCATCTGAAATGTATTTAGGAAGCCCTCTCTAATCGGAGAGGTTGAGGCCAGTGGTAACATATACTCATGGATAGAGTCAAAATGGTCTTGTGGGGGGCACATTCTTGGCATGCAAAACCCTCTCTTGATTTTGTTGAGCTGGGTTAATGAACAACTTGAGGGGCTAATTCAGAAGGCAATGCCAAAGATTTGGATCAAGGACAACTAATTTGTGCCATGGCCTCCCCTCGGGCCATGGGTATTGAATGCTTAGATACTGTTCTCTTCTGTATTCATATATTCAGGTGAACAGTCCATCAATAGATAAATCCAAAATAAGGTCTGACTATTGTTGTACCTGGACCAATTCTAACCAAGATTTAGAGAGCGAGAGTTGAGATGGTACCTGTAAAAATCATCAAAAGTGGGGGCAGAATCTGGTGTTTAGTTCCTCTCTTCAGAGAACATGATACCGAAACAAGATCTTTGGATTTAGACACAGTGTTTAGCACAGTGCCTCATGACCAGCTTGTTAAATTCAAGTGAAGTGGCTCAGGCAGAGGGTCATGGGAGAGGTCATACCCCCAACACTTCAGTCTTGGCAAGATATTCAGTATTCATGTCAAGGGAACACATTTTAATTGCAAAATCATCTAAAACAAGCAAGGAAGAAGTCAGAAGCCAATGATCAAAAAACAAGGGATCCGAGAGGCACACGATCAGGCGTGTCAGGGTATCAGGGTCACTTGACTATGACCAGAATAATAGTAACACAAAATTCAATACTCGGGTGTCTTTCTGCACTTCACATTTGAGATCAGCAAGCTTTCACATGCAGCCATGGGCAAATTCCTCCCAGGGAAGGCGTCTCAAAGTCAGCAAAACTTCTTCCACAGTGTGACCTTCAACAAATGCATCCTGGAACTGCCACACCACAAAATGACAAATGTGTCTCACCTTGATATTCCCCACACCGCTTTCTCCCAGCTTTTTTCCAACAGTTGTCATTTTGCTGGAGAATCACAAATGTCACACACAAATATACCACACATTCAGACACCACAGAGTTTCCTTACCACTGCTGGAGGCTTGCTGGGGCCCTGAGCATGCTCTGAGCAGGTATGAATTGGGGGAGAATTCCTCATCAGGGTTGGTATCCATGATCTGATGGGAGGTGTTGCTGTCTAGCAATGGCATCTGGCAGCTAACTGGTGGAGGATTATGGGAGCTAGGCAGCTGAGCAGATGGGAGGAGGCTAGACGAGGATGTAGGTGGAATGGGACGACCTGGGAAAGAGGACAGAGGGGTCAAAGGTCAGCAATGAGTCTCATGAGAGCATCCTAAGAAAGTTACATCAAACCAGCTCACAATACAAATATTAAAAATAATGAAGAGCCCTGGATGTGCTTTTCAGAGTGGTTTGATGTTTCTTCAGCAGTCCAAAATCATACCACAAGTAGTATGAATACTTTACTAATATATTTCCGAAAAGGACACACAGTTGAAATGAAATCAGTTTAGAAACATCTAGTTCTTTCTACCTCTTCTACTATGATCCTAAGAGAGGAAGTTCCCACCCTTTCTTCCTAGACTGTCACCTTGCTGGTTTCTGTACTTGTAATCCTGTGACACTGGCCACATAATCTACATCATTTCCACCCCTTTTCCACAACAGCAGGAATGGCACTTTGTAGGTAGAAATCGGAACACATCATCTTAGTAGCCTCCCATGGCTTTCCATTGCTGGTAGCTGGTCATCTACCTCCCCCATCCAGAAGGCACCCTTCCTACCCTGCACTCTTGGCCCTTTATTCTCCAGCCAATGGGGCAACTTTATTTCTCCTACTTGAACATGCCAATGCCAAGCCCTTTTGCCTTTATATAGATTTCCATTCTCACTTTAATGAATACTTCCTGCTTCTCCCACTGCCTGGCCAATATTCCCAAGCCTGGTGTTTTTCCACAGTACAGCTTTCCACATTTGCCTCCTTGAAACAAGAGCTAACTTCTCTAGCCTATAGCCTCTTAAAATGTCCCTGTAGTCCTCAATATTACCTGTTACTCAGACTTGTATCTGCAGTATTTATAAAGAATATCAACTGATAAATGAATGAACAAATAAATAGGCTAGACTAAGACCAAATCCTTTAGTTTATGGTACAATGGGAAAACAGGTGGACAGGACCATATTTCCATTCCAAAGAGCTGATGGATGTCTCCACATTCTGTACCAAGTAGTTTCTTTGGACCTCATGGGAGAATTACTATGAGGAAAAGCATGGCCACTATAAGCCATGAAGAACAGCCAGGAGCTGCCCATGGGGGACAGAAGTGACAGAAAAATGGGGAGATAAGATTAACCCTTAAAGTTGAAATTCTTTTTAGATTTATTTTATTGTGTGTGTGTGTGTGTGTGTGTGTGTGTGTCTGTGTCTGTGTGTGTGTGTCTACAGATGCCAGAAGAGGATGTCAGATCCCCTGGAGCTGGAGTTATGGGTGGCTGTGAGCTGCCCAAATGTAAGTGCTCGGCATCAAATTTGGATTTTCTGCAAGAGTCCTCTTAACTGCAGAGTCATCTTGCCAGCCCAACAATACAGCTGAAATGAAGATGAACCATCTCTGAAATAGATCACCAGATAAATAGAGCTTGATTTAGAACATTTGATTCATTCAAAACTGTTGGTGAGCAATACAAGACACAATGTTCTTGTCAGATGCTCTGGACTGAGTGCTTTGAAGATGCCTCAGAATCATTGCTAGGATTCAATGGAAATCTTCCCATGGATTTGCTAATACAGCTATCAGTACTAATATTCTAACTGCTAATGTTTATTGCATGGTGACTGCTGCCATTTACTCTGTTATTCTGTTGATCTCTATCATCTCTTTTAATCCTCAAAACAACCTATTAGGCAAAAATGATCACATTTTCTCATAAAACAATAGAGTAGCACATTCCAATTTTATAGATGGGATGCTGAAGCACGAAGATGTTAAGTGCCATGTGTAGTAAAATGTCAAGGCCTAGACTTTGTTGCCTCCCAGAACCTGATGGTAAGACCCTAGTGCTAAAGATATAACATACTTCAGACACAGAATTTGCAGCAATTGAGCTGAAAGACAAGGAAGACTCCTCCCTGAAGACTACTCTCAGAGTATCAGAAGACAGAATGCCAGCCTCCAAGGGAGAAAAACAATCCAAGATCCTACCTAGCTGTAAAGCCTATGAACCACAACATTGACCAGTGCAGCAAACTATCTTTATTGGTGCCATAGTGGCATTTTTATCTTGGGAGTAATCAACAGTTTTCTAATTGGGTTTAAAGCCCATTCAATGGGAGGGAAATCATGTTTGGTACTGTAAACATAGCCAAGTACACATAGTTGAGAGCTCATAGAGAGAGCAGAACCTATCTCTGTCACTTCCCCAGACCAATGTAATTTCTAAATACATGTCATTATATTTACAGACAAGTGTATCTCTCACCACTCATCAAAGAAGTTTCTTTTTGCAATAGTGGAGGCTGTGATAAAGATCCACAAATGGAACAAGTTCTATCACACCTTTAATCCCAGGCAGAAGTAAGCAGATCTCTGTGAGTTCAAGGCCAGCTTGGAGCACATAGTGAGTTCCAGGCCAGCTGGGGCTACAGAGAGGCCCTGTCTCAAAAAAGATAAAAAAATAAGTAAATAAAGCTCCACAAGTGGTCAAATGCAGAGAACAAGTGACTGTGAGGTGCCCAACTCCAAGTGATATATTGACACCACAACCTCTATACCCAAGGCTTAAGGAACACTGCAGAAGAAGGGGCAGAAAGAATGTAAGAACCAGAAGGTCAAGTCACCTGCTGCTTAATGTATTCTAGACATGATCCAGAAACTGCACCAATGAAATCTCCACAGTGTGGTAGGCTAATGAGATTGGCACAATGACAAAACCAGCTGACATGCCAAGTTGGACAGAGGGAATGTCATGGGGTCCCACCTCAAGATGAAAAGCTACAGGCAATCAATAGATGGGGAGGGAGGGAAAATCACTTCTCTCCAGGTACTAGGTCCCTGAAAGGTTACCTCATCTCAAATGGAGAGCCCTAAGCACAGTACATGCAAACATCATTTAGTGGACTCAGTATATATATGCGGCACAATGATAATCAAAGGAGAGAACAAGAAGCTGAGAATGGGAACCGGGAGGGATGGAAATCATGCAAAGACAAAACTTATGTATGAAATTCTCAAAATGAAAATAAACAAATATGCAGAGAAAAAAAGGTCAAGGCCTAGAGCTCAAACTTGGGTTTGTCTTTCTAAAATCCATGCTGTGATGTTCACTGAAATATCATTGTAACAAAACCAAAACAAAGCCATAAAAAATTAAAGGAAGAAGAATGTGACAGAAAGGAAAAGAAATTTATGCGAGATCATACTTCCAGGTCTCTCCTCCCCATTCTAGAGCATCCTCCAAATTTCAAGTAGAGAGCAGGTCTTTGAATAACTATGTATAGTGACTATCATCTGACAGAGTTCAAATTTTCCCTTGTCATTTTGTTATGAAGTTGGTAGCGATGTCACCCTCCACCTTTTTCAAGGCTCCTGACTGCAGACGGGTCCTGACCAGGCCCTGTGAAGTCAGTGCTGATGTCCACTTAGCAGTGAGGCTCTGGTAGGGAGAGATTTTTAAGTCACAATCAATAGGCTTTCAAGTTTGTGCTATTGAGGCATATCTGAAACTGGATGTTGAAGAAAAAGGATGGCTGGAAGCCAATTTTTAAATTCCTTTGAGTGACTGAGGTGGAACTGAAGTTCAAGTGCAATTTTCCAGGAGCCTGATATGATAGTCACTGTGAAATCATTCCTAACATGAACGTTTTGAAATTTTGTTCAGCATGAATTCATTTCATATAGTACAGACAGCGCCGCTTTTTAATTTATACAAATACAGACAATGGAAGAACAGTCATAGCACAATGAAAGCGCTGGGGCTCCTTCCGTGCGTTGAGAATATGCATTGCAGCACCTTCTGGCTCCTCTCAGTTCCCTGCCCCTCTTAGTTCCATGCCTCTGTTTTGGTAGCTCCTTCAATTTTGATCCCTGCACCTACTATTATCTAGGAAATGGCATAATCCCAAGTCTTGCCCCAGTGAAGTGAAATGTACTGTTCTCTCTCTCTGCTATGCTGTTTGTTTGTTCAGTTAGGCTACATTTTGCCCCGACTATTCCAACCGACAGAGACCAGCTGTATAGACACAAACAAATTCTAAAGTACAGGAGAGCGAGCTGGGATTTACTTGGCTCCCTGTGTGCACCCTGTTTTCTTACAGAAATCCTGAGTATGGATGGGCAGGTAACCAGGCAATAAGCACTAACCTGATTCCCACGTGCTATGTGATAGACACCCCTGATTTCCAAACTATTTCTCACTTCATTTTGAGTGAGTACAAAGTCTTCAGCAAATGTACAGAAAACCACATTGAACTGATCTGTTAGAAAACAAATGGAAACATGTAAAGACAACAATACGTCATCCATTAAACTCACATGGTATGTATGCGTATGGGTTTTCCAAGACTCTCATGTAAATGAAACTGTAATATCTGTGTGATTGAATTCCCCATGACCTTAAACATGGAGACTAAATCAGCTTGCTAATATATATGTTTCCAAATAAGATTTTGAGCTAGTTTTAACTAAAAAATTCTGTTTAAAAGATCTATAAGCAGATGAAGCTATTCCATGCAAAGTCTGATAGACCCCTTGTGGTTGTTAGAGAGCCATGTGGAGAAGAATCCTGGGATGCTCTAGATTTCAGTGGGAAAACAGTGACACCATCAATTAGAAACCTCATAGACATGGATGGGGAGAGGTAGCAGATGTACAGTGCTTATTTGCCATCCATGCTCCAGGCTCTCACTCTTTACCCATCTCAGCCATCCTGAAAACTTCATCATACACCATCTGTGGTGGAAAGAATATTGCTCCAACTCCCATTGTGTCCGTTACAGTGCCATTTTGCTTCTCACATGGATTCAGATCCAGACTTTATTCAATAAGATCAAAAGATGGCAGTCTCTTCTCATTCTCGCCAAACAATAAATGCTAACAGTGAAAGTGATGCTCTGCCTGGCCAGTTTTAATGTATTCACTAATTTATGGCAGAGGGTGTACTGCCGATCAATTCCCAAAATTCACTTAAAACAACTGGTTCTTTTTCATTTGAAAGATTAATGGCAAACAGATATTAAAGTGTTCTGTGTAGGCAATACATAATTGATTTATGTAGTGATGG